CAAGTGGCGTATTTTGCATTTTTCTTGTTTAGGCATAACTGTTATTTCGATTTGCGTCGATTTTGCACTAAACCATAGAGAACATTTTGTAGCCTAGAATGGGTCCACAAGCTTAATTTATGCATAAATGGAGCTGCATCCTTCTTGCACCAAGGTCGTCAATTGCAATAATTATAATAATATTAATTATTATTATTATTATTAGTGGCCTGTATCAATGATAATTATTATCATTGATACAGGCCACTATCCCGGCGCATTCGCCATTTTTAAAATGTTTGTCTATGTCCAAAGCTAACGGTTCGTTTTAATTCGAGGGCAGTGTTGCCACCCCTATTACTATAGTAATAGATTTGTTATTTATAGCGAAAATATATTACCCTATTACGAAACGATGTAAATCTATTACTTTTTTCTTTCCTAGTAGGATTTTTTTTTAATATTCTCTTGTGGTCCCATTGTTGCCACTGGCAACTTGCCAGACAGCCCACAAAAGATTATTGTTGCAGCGCATCAAAACTATTGTAGAATTAAATTTTTCTTGGTTTTTCTAATATAAGTGATTTAAATCTTGTTAGATATTTTAAATTTATTATTTAAAAATAATAAAAAATAAACAGTTAATTAAAATAAACTTATTGTTTATCCAAAATTTAAGATTTTGTTAATATTGAGTAGTTTTATTCCCTTGTGCAATTTGATTTACATGAAATTATTGTAAATACATGATATTTCGTATATTGTACCTACGTACGTATAATTATTATCGAACAAAAAGGATAATTATTATTTCTATAGAAAATTATCGTACGTCTGGAAACACTGCTTGAGTGTTTGACGTTTGTTATGTGCTTAAATTTGTGTTTATAAAGTTTTTGTTAAAATGGCATACGCACATGTAAAAATTAAATTTTATTCAAATGACAACGGTAAAACGTCATAGAATGAAAAAATATTGATTAAAAATTACCTTAAATCCCAAATCTATTACATTTTGACGCATTCTTCTATTACGAAAAAAAGTTATAGGTGGCAACACTGTTCGAGGGTATCTTAACTACATTAAAATGTCGAATCCAATTGGCCTGAATTAGAATTGCCATTTGTTAAGATACCTTTCTACTTATGAGCAAACAGAGATAGAAGTGCTCTTTATTTAGTTATTTACTTAGGAACTGGGAATTAATAAAGTTAAGTTAAGCACGAAACTTCAGTTGTTCGAGTTTAAATCTTATTTGCGCAAAATATTTAAGCCATTCATAATTCATACTTAGACTGAGAACGTGTACCATTATAAATGCATTTATTTCTAACTTGTCCGTGTTAGCGTCATGAAATCCATTAACGTCTCCAACACAAATAACAACAAGTACGAGTATAATAATATTATAGGTTTATTAAATATACTAATTAACAAAAGTATAGGTTTACCCCAAATTTTGCCTTTGATATAATGTAATTTGGCATGAATTTTAAAAAAGTTTTAGTTTTATTTTTATTTTCTAGTCAATTTAGCTACATATGCTCAAAATTTTGATAACTCGTAATTAGTACTGGAGAAATAACATCAGTCTTCGCGGATTTGGGCCAGACTAAATATTTAGTAAATGACTAACTGTTAGTCATTTATTAAATTTTTTGTCCCAAATCCAAAGACTGATGTTATTTTTTCATTATTAAAAGCACCAAAAAACTTGCAGCGCTAGCTGCTAGCAATTGTGTTTTTGGTCGGCAAATCACGATGGAAAAATAGGAGCCACCATTAAATTTTGTGTTCAAAATTCTTTCAACATGTTACACCAAGTATAATACCGTTGCTGATGTACAGAAGTCCCCGACTAGGGTTCAAAAACGGTTTAAAAAAGTGTTTTTAAGATCGTTTCTAACGCTGTATCAACTCAAAAACGATGTATTTCAAATAAATTGATATACAATTTTGGAACAAATATTGACTTTATTATTAGGAACAGAACATGTATGTTTAAATATTAGTTAATAAAATAATATTTTTACGGTATATTTCCGTATACACATTTGATGAAAATATAGATAATGTTTACATTTGATGCTGAACTTCGCCCTTTGTTCATTGATCAATAAATACTCTAAAAAAATACTTTTTTCAAAATTCGTGGAATAACAAAGTTATATCGACTTTTGACTTTAAAACCTTTTAAGAAACGCTTATTTATTTGCATTATTCAAATGCCATAATAAAAGGCATGTAATTTCCAACTTTTTTCTTATTTCCGAGATAGCAATGCTATCTCCTGGAAATTTGGACGGGTTGAAGTCAGTTGCAGTTGTCAATAAAGCCAAAGTAAGGTAAGAACAGTGTGACAGATGTAAGATTTTAATTATTTTTTAAATTATTTAAATTCATTGTAGAAAAAGTATAGCACGCAACTCGTCTCTAGACACTCGTTTGTTAAACACTTGCTCGAAAACTTATCTCGTGACTAAAATTCTGTATATCAAACTTTTTACAAAATAGACCATGACTTTATCATATTTATTTTTATATGTTTTATTTTTATGTTTTTTTTATTTTATTGCAATATTAATACCTACACGCAGAAAAATGTATGTTAAAAAACGTATATTAAAATTTGTATAATATAAAGTAAATCAAATTATTATATAAATTAAAAAACTGAATGTTAAAGTATAATAAAAATATTATAATCGTCATATGATTTAACTTAATATTTAATACGAATTAAGTAATATATTAAAGCGGTTTAATATAAAATAATATTAAATTAGTAAATTTACAATATATCTTAATTATATTTTTAAATTAAAATCATATTATCATAACATTTAGCTGTCACTATATTTTACAGTTTAAAAGTAAAATTAATATAAACCGTCGAACAATAATGAAAATACATTGAATTACATAGATACGCTTAGCTTAAAATCAGCAAAGAAAATGTAAACTTACATATCATTGTATACACAGGCTTGACTTTTTTTAATAAATGCTGGTTTCTTAAACCTTTTTTAAGGAGAAAACCATATATGTCAAACAAATGCACAAAAATATAACTTATTTGGCACCACACACTTGAAATTTTATTAAATTTAGTATTTATTTTCTAAATGTTTAAACCTTGCATTGCAATTGTAATACCATAAAGATTTTTTTTATTTTTTACACTTAAACATAAGCGGTAAACGTATAAATATGATTTCTTTCGTCGACTATATTTTTAAAAGACTGCGTTCCGTACAAAGTCACGTGGTGGGACTTTAATGTGTGGAGCATAGTCCAAAACCCATAATATAACATATGTCAAATGTCAAACCTGAGAAAATGTCGTAAACTCGATAAGTTTAATTTAATTTTTAAAATTATTCGATTATTGTATTAAAAATTCTATAACCCCTATTTTTTGACGACAATTTTAGTGCAAATTATTAAAATAAAATCGGTATTAATTTTTTGTATTTATTATTATGCAGCTGTATAATACCCTGTATGCAAACTCATCCTTAATAAAAATAGAATATTTGGGACAAAATACAATGGATATTGTGAAGCCCATGCTTTTATTAAAATTTTCAACATTATAAAATTAACTTTGTTCAAAGATTATCCTGTAAGAATGTAAATCCATTCATTACCAAATAATTTAATAAACCAAGTATTCACAAAAGCCAAACCTTCTTCAAAAACTAAATATATTGGAAAATACATTTTTAGAAAAAATAAGAGTTGTAATTAGTAAATAACCTAGGTATTGAATATAATTATTTTGATTAAAAGTAAAGATATTTCTATGCTATTATAAAAAAAATGCAGTTGTGCGACATTGCTGACTAATTTACTACAACTTTTATAAAAAAAAATTTTTTTTTTCTAACTAGGCATTACAACGCATTGCTGGATTTACTCGTTCGATAAACTTATCGCCGTTTATTAAATATATAATATAACGAAAAAGTTGCAAATAAAGGTTGTAGAAAATTTTAATCTATATCGCTTTGGTAAAGAAATTATATTCAAAAACCCAGTGGCGGATATCGAAGGTGTCACCCCAAGAATAAAAATATATAGTACCTATTGTTTTATTTTGCTCAGGGGCATTTCACACCACATCAAGTTGATTTAATCAACCACTTTTAAACTCAACCCCTTTCGATTGAGCTAAATTTATTATTGTAATAATGGTAGTGTCCTTTTGTACTAATTCATTGTGGAAAATCGTGGGTATGGGAAAATAATTAAAAAACATCTTGCTTATGACAAAATTGCATTTTTTCAAGAAAGATGTTGTTTTAAAATATGGGCTGATATACTTTTAGTTTAACTTATTAATTGTTATAAGTTTTGTCTGTTAGGGTGAGCCAAAAAAACTAACCTATTGAATTTATGGGTTAAAAGTAACCTATATACCGAGAAAAAAATGTTCCTGCAGGGTAGGATTTTCAGCTCAATTTTAAAAGGTGTCGGTGGGCATTTAAAGTTTCCCATTTAAATAACACGTAAACAAATCTTCTTTTATTAAAAATACCATAACTTTTGAACCGTTTACGATAAAAAATTTTACGTCGCGGATTCTTGTAGAGCATAAAATTTCCTAAAAAAATCTACCCCACTATTATTTTTTTAAATTAAAAAATTCGTATATTTGAAAGCTTTGAAAAGTGAAAAAAATATTCAGTTTTAGTGATTTTTTACACTTTTCAAAGCTTTCAAACATACGAATTTTTGAATTGACAAAAATAATCCTGGGATAGATTCTTTGGAAAATTTTATGCTCTAGAAGAATCCGCGACGTAAAATTTTTTATCGTAAACGGTTCAAAAGTTATGGTAACAATGTCTGTATTAAACAAAGTAATTCACTTTATTACGTTTTACAACAAATAAAAGAATACGATTTATTAAAATCCTTGTTTATCCACGATGCAATCTCTTAAGCCTATTAGTAAAAGATATTGATTTTAAGATTTAAATCCCATGAGATTACTTACTATTCGTTGTTGTTTCAGGGAAATGAAGTCATCAACAGTTAACAGCTCGGCCTCCATCATTGCGCTGCTGGTCATTGGAATTATTCTTCTACAGGCGACGACATATGCTGCTCCACATCCAGCCAGGTAGTGGTAGATCAGAGATTTTTTTGTAGAAAATCATTTTTTGATAATTCATTATTTTACATTTAATTTTAAAAATAATTTAACCTCCTCATATTCACAACCAAATATTAATAGGTAATGTCGCGAGGTATGGTGTTAGTGGACCATTATCCGAATATCCTGTAGATTTTAAAGGGACCCATATGGAGGTAGAAAAAAAGATACACCAAGTATTTTTTTATATTTTTCATAATATTTTATAAATGTATATAAACATTAAGTTTAAAACAATAATAAATCTATCGGTTAATTAAAGAAATTAGTTAATGATTGGTTTAAGTAAAAAGGACGACGTAATAAAAATATGTGGGTCTAAAAACGGCCATAAGCCTAAGTTTTTTTTTAATATTGAATAAAAAAATTTATAGTATTAATGATATCTGTATTTCTGAGGCTGTACCTTAATTTATTTGATGTTTCCAATATAAACCATTAATTTGTGATATGATACTTTTAAAAAAATATTTTTTTAAATCGTTATTGGTGTAATATTTTTATTAATATACAAGGTTATTGTGTGATTTTAGGAAAAAAGTTCCGATCGAGATGTATGTCGGCAATCGCTTTATTGTGGAGATGTAGGGTGTACAAATTTGAAAAAAAATATATTTCCGAAAATCAATCTCAAAAAGAACAAGTAAATATTTTTTGAAACTTCTTGAGTAGCGATTTTTTTTCAAATCAAATATAATTTAGTTTTTAAGTTAATATCACAGATAACAGAGATTACAATTTTAATAATAATGATAAAAAAATATACAAATGTACATATTCCTAACTTTATACAAGAACAAAAATCTAGACTAGTATGATGCTGCCCATTTCGTTCTTGAATATAAGGTGACTGATTCACCGGGTTTGGTGTGCCGGTGTCTCGAGAGCTCCTGGCTGATGTTGTGCCCTTGTTATATAACATGTGTTCTTTCATGTTGCTGATTCCAGAGTTGTCCAAAGTTGTTTTCAACGTAGATATAATTGAAAGTGAGGGTAATTGGTTTTGTTGCCGTTTTTATTATTGTGATTTTTGTTTTAAAGGAAAAAGTTTGATAAAAAACCTTTTTTAGGAAAACTCATGATATTTTCTGCTTCAATTATTTATTTTTATTCGATTTTGTTCTGGATACTCCTTTATTCAAGTCATAACCGCATAACAATATGCAAATAAATTATTTACAGGATTTTATTCAAAACTGTTTATCTGACGAAAAAAGTTTGGTGGCCATTTTTAAAGGAAAATGTTCGCAAAAATGAAAGTAATACATAATTTTAAAAAGTTAAGTATTGAATGTGGACACCCAAAATATTTCTTGTAAAAAAAATGCCTAATGGTAGGTAACCTTATAAAATTAAAAAATATATAAAAAGCGATTTCAAATATATTAAGAATAAAACGACATTTTTTAAATTTATTTCCAAAATAAAGCGGCTGCGACTAAGTAAATTTAAAAGTTTTTCTTTAAATCATCATGGTTGAGCCCATTTAATTAAGAAACACCCTGTACATTTAAATCCAATAAAGTATTACCTAAAAATGCGATTTTTAAAAGATCTAAGGAATAAAACAATAAATCAAACATTCTAAAAGCTTTTACATTCAACAGAAAATATTTGCTGGGCATGTCCCTTATGCGTAAAGAAATTGGCTTATTTTCAAATCAAGAAAAATGTACCCAAATATGGCAAATTTGTTTTGTCTTTGCGCTGCAATTTGTCAATTTTTAATAGTATTACGTTTGTTTTCCTGACACAATATCGAAGTTCATTTATTTATACTGATTTTTATTTTACTTCCTCGAGTCATATAAAAGTAACCTTAGAATATAATATATTATGATATACATACATTTGAGTCCTGTGGAATCAAAAGCGAACATGTCATATGATATCTGCCGTGCTAAGCACAAATGTGCTACAATATGAAGTCAACTGTATTACCACATTTTTGCTTAGCACAACGGAGGGCAAAAGTTCGCTTTTGATACTACATCTAGGTACCTACTGCAGTACTCAATTTTAATAATATGAAATATCTATTAAATTCCCATTGATTTTTTTTATTTACAATAGATCAGGATTTGCCATTTTGCAAAAAACTTTTTGTATTTCGATGGTAATCAAATTAGTCTTTAAAATAAAAGTTTTAAAATATTAGGTACCTAAATACATTTAATAACTTTAAATATAATGGCTTAAAAATTTGCTATATAAATAAAAATATAAGAAGTAAATCTTCTTAAATTTAGCTGCCTCATAATGTATTAAGTTTATCACCTAACAATTAAAAGGATATATTTATCTTCAATAGGTCTATAATTTAAACGGTATGGTTGTCAACACTTGTTACTAAAGTGACTGATTATACCCTAGGGACTTAAAAATAATATAGAAAAATTAGGATTTTTACACCTTGGGGAGTAAAAATTTTTTTATTGCTGCAAAGTTTATAAATAATGCATTAATGCATTATTTATAAACTTTGCAGCAATAAAAAAATTCGACTTTTTTTGGATTATCTAACCCTTTCTACTTTTAATATTTATTATAATTTATATTAATAATAATTATAATATAAAGATAAAATGTTGTTTTATATTCTATAATTTTACCAGATTTGCAATCAGGCCATTGAATTCATTTTTTGTTATTTCACATTTGAATATTATGTTTACACTTTGCTAAAGAGACCTTTTTTTCAATGTAACATGACAATTTTAATGATTATGAGAAAATAAAAATTCAGTAAAAATCCCAACTCTTAATTTCATCGAGTTTTAAAATTTCCTCTTTTTAATTTTTTTTTCTGCATTCAATGTAGCCTTTTCATATAGGTAAATGAAAAATCCATTAAGTGAAGTTTTTATCGATAATATCTCACTTAGTAAAATTTTGTCAAAATTACAAAAAATGTTAAAAATAGTATTTCATGACTAACTTTTGTAACTAACTAACCACGCAAAAAAAGTATCTTGATCTGAAGACAAGACGCATACATTTATCACAAGGTTGGTTTCTAGATCTAAAAAAGGCTTAATTTTAATAAAAACCAAAAAAAGCAATTTATGAGAATATAACTTTTTTTTACTAATGGTCCAATAAATTTGTTTAAGACAATTTTAGAGGGAATTAAAAGTACTAAGAAATTGTATCGTAACTTTTTGATCTATCATCAATAGTGTAGTTTCAAGATCTAAACAAAGCGTAATTTTAACAAAATTACATTTTGTAATCATTTTACTAAGTGAACTATTATCGATAGAAACTTGACTCAGGACCGGTTTAAGTTGCAGTTAGTTAATATCTATACCGCGGAAGTTTTCCAGCGATTACATCAAAATGATTATATTGTGATATTATAAACATTTTTTCTACGACCACTATATAAAAGTCACTTTTCATGATGGCATCGTTGCTTAGAAAATGAATCTTTTCATTGACAAGGCCAAACACGAATGTAAAGTGACATTTCTGTGTGAAAAGTGACAGGTCTGTGTGAAAAGAACCGGAAAGCATCGTTTGACATTCAGCTGTCAAAAAAGTTTTTAGGTTATTTTGTTTTGTATTTAAAAATAATAAAAAATAAAAGGGTCGCAGAAAAAACATTGTGTTATACTTGTGAGAAAAGCTTTCTTCAAGCTCGTGTTAATGCACACTCGGCCTAACGGCCTCGTGGGCAACTTAAAAACTCGCATGAAAAAATCGCTTTTCAACACTTGTAAAACAAATAACTATTTTGCACTTGTATTAAGATAAGTGTTTACTTTTTTAACTCTGATTTTTGTAAACATTTTGACGTTATCGCTGGTAAAGTTCCGCGGTATATTAATATCTAACAGATAATTTCCATGTATACCAATGTTCTCACAATGATCGATATGAAATTTAACTGTCAAGATATACTTACTGGAACTTAACCAGAGATTGATAAACCGACGCTCAATGGAATTGTTGGGATTTTACTGAATTTGTATTTCGGTATAAATTTTTGTTACAAAAAAAAACGATATCATTTTTTACACTCCCTGACATTTATAAATTACATAATTGCCATTTATATGTTCAGATAGACCTATTTCTTTAATAACAACTATTACAAAAAATTTTCACTCTAAAAAAATCGAATAGATGGCTATATTAAAAAATATAACATCATATCAAATAAGCAATTTGGATTTCAAAAGGGAAAATCAACACAACACGCCATTATTAATTTAATGGAAAATATTTATGACGCTGTTGACAAGTCAAATCCAACAATTGCCATATTCCTTGATCTTTCCAAAGCCTTTGACACAGTCAGTCATGAAAACATATTAAATGTTTTGGAAACTATAGAAATTAGAGTCACCCTCTTAAAGCTTGTGGCCAGCTACCTAAAACAATAGGGTTCAAATGGTAAAAATAGAGGAAAACTACAGTAGTCCGATGACACCCAATTATGGAGTTCCACAAGGAACCATTCTGGGACCCATACTGTTTCTGTTATACATTAATAATTTATTTAAGGTTAACACTAAGGATCTACCCATAAGTTTTGCAGTTGACAGGACTATATTTTATAGAGGCCAAAGCTGGGATACTCCAAAAAACACAGTTGAAAAAGATTTTAGCCAGATTAAAGACTGGTTTGATTTTAACTCTTTAACTATAAATGCCGAAAAAACATGTTTTATGTTGTTTGGCTCCAACAGTGCTAGACTACCTAATTTTACATCCCTTAAGGTAAATCAATCGAAATGTAGTTTTAACATTTGTCTATCCAACTCTGTAAGATTCTTGGCACTCACATTGGATACACATCTTAGATGGGATTTGTATGCACGGGAACTTTCTAAGAAATTAAGATGTCTAATTCTAAACCTACATCAATTAAACTTGGTATACAATTATCTTGTAGAGACCACCTAAGATATAGTATTTTGGGATGGAGAGGACTATATAAAAATCAACTGTTGGAAATTGAACTT